GCCAAATCATGGCCAGCGGTACAAAATCCCTTGGGCGATCTCGACAGATTGTCGAATAGGGGCTTCCCCAAAGGCTCTGATCCTGGAAGAGGACCCATGTGGTCGTGGGGCTCAAAGAGCCGAAGAGCAAAGCTCATGACAGCAAAGGCTTCTCTCTCGAGCGCATCGAATGACTTTGTCATATCACCATCGACCCCAAGTCGAGTGCAAGCAGAGTTCAGCTCACGCTTGACCATCTCCGATTTGGAACACAGCAGCGCCCACTGCGGTCCTATGAGGATCAACCCACGGTCACGTTCCATACGGAACTCCAGATTGTTCGGGCAAGAGGTGCCGAATGCTCGGCGCAGCGCCTCACGTTCCAACATTGTGTTCCACCACACGAAAAAAAAACAGTGAACCTTCTCCGGTTCCAGAAATGTCCCACCGCTTGGTGTCGAGTGTAGGAAGGTGAATGTTTGCCGTTGTGCAAACCAGGTGATAGATGTCGTTCTACTCCCCAAAAAGACACTCCAGTTATTGTCTGACGACAAAAGAGGAACACTGCCAGTTCGAGACTAGAAAAGAACAAAACCTCTCGGTTTTCCAAGAGTGGGCGAACCCAAGGTTCTTATAGTCCACGACTGGGTGGTGGCCTCGCCACCATGCAGGAGACAAGCCTGTGCGGGTCCCTCGCGACAGCGTCCCGCCTCCCACCTTCCTCGTCCATGCGGACTCGTCTGGTGTTTATGACTAATTTTTCCATCTCTGATTCCAAAATTTTAGTGACATCGCACGTGCCCCGTCACGCGCTCTTATGACGTAGGGAATGACCCCGCCTACCGTTGGCAGTCGTGGTTCCATGGTTCCATGGTTCCCCTTATAACCAAACATACAGAACCACCTCCGCTCCCCCGTTCCGGTGTCGCTCTGGTGGCATAAGGGGAACGTCTCTATCGCTCGCGCTTCCCGGCGCTCACTCTGTCTGTGTCCGCTCCGCCTCCGACGTCGCTCTTCACCGTCTCTCATTTCATTCGTTGTCCGTTCGTGGTTACACCACTCCCTCCTACTCTTGTTGTTCCTTCGAACAACACACCCTCATGCCTTACGGCATTCGGTGTGTCGCAACCCTGCAGGTGGCCTTTCGTAGTCTAGATACTCCCTCCGGGGGAATCATTCTCATCTTATTACTTGGAGCAAGTGACCAGTCACTGGATGCAAGCACAATCACTCTGTCAGACCTCTGTTGGTATCACTTCATCATCATTTTATTTCATCTCATTTCTAGCTACGTCCCACTGCACAAGTAAGTCTACAGGCTTTACAAGCCCGACCCTACATTTCGTTTTGTTCCCTCTGAACAATACTGCCTCGCGCCTTACGGCACTCGCAGCATTGCAACCCTGCAGGTAGCATTTCGTAGTTGTGATTGGGGGCCTCCGGCGGTGTTGACTCAAACGGTAACCAGGTGAGCACTCGGCTCACTCACCCACTGGGGAAACAGCACAGCTCCCTCGACTCTCGGGTTGGCAGTTAAGCCTCGCACCAGCAAAGCTCTTTACAAGGTCATCGTAGACGCCGCGGTCTCCTGTGGCGAGATCCTCGTCCACAAAACTCTCCCATTGTCGAATGACAACGTCTGCACTGAGTCTGCAACACAGACGCCCACCATCCAAGAAGGAATAACCATCACCTGGTATAGAGAGGCCCTGACACAAAGCGGTCTGCAAGAGGGGCCTGAAGCCGGAAGATTCCGAAGGCACATCTCGCTCACACTCGACCAGGGCTGTATGGATCCAAAATCCATTATGCTTCTCTTGTGCAACCAAGCAACGCTTGACACCAAACTCAAGGCAGCTCCCAAGTCTCCTTGTCACCTCTTCCGCCTCCACAGGCTCCAAGGTCTCCCACTCAATGTCAAGAAAGCGGCGACACAAGTGCTTCACCCGAAAGGGTACGCATGCCGAGTGGCGGCAACACCGATCACACCCGCGATCGGGTCCTAGCAACGTCTCGTGACGATCATCCCTCCGTTCGAAAACGGCGCATCTCCCATTTGCAAGTGTCACACACTCAAACATGACAAAGAAACTGTCTCTCGACAAGTTGATCTCACGATCCCTCCCGCACCTGCTGAAAAAGTCAATCCTCTGATTGAAAGTCGTCCCCGACACACAAAACCCCGTTTATAGTCACAGGGGTGGCAAAGGGTCTCGCCCATTCCTCCACGAAACAGAAAAGGCTCGTCAACTCGCCGCGGTGTAATGCGATCAAAGTTCTTATCTCCTATTCAAGACCAGTCTGCGTTTGCTGGAAGCAAAGGTAAGAGCAACCCATCCGGTTGCATGAGAAAGGAAAGAGTTTGCTCCAAGCAAAAAAAGAGCGAAGGCGTCCTTCTTATACTCTCCGTAATTGTTCCCCCACGGGTCACATGTTACGTGCTCCTGCACACGACAAGCCTAGGTGGAGCCCTGACGTACCGTCTTCCCACCAACCATCACTCGTCCGCTGGACTCGTTGATGTTATGACCATCCCCTCTCACTTCTCGTTCCCGGGATGTAGGACCCACGTGCCGCGGCACGTGTATAGGACGCAGTCACCGTAACCGACTGGTGCCGGTTCCATGGTTCCCCTTATAACCAAACATACAGGATCGGTCGCCCCGTGCCACACACGGTGCTCCCTCTCACAAGGCGTACGTGTCTACCCAGTGCACACTCTCGTTCCACTCGAGTCGCACTGTCGGAACCCATAGAAAATGGGTTGGTCGCACACTGTGCTCCGTCTGTTGACTGTATTCACTCTGTTGATGCAGTTCCCTACGCTCACTAACGTTCGCTCGGTCAAAAGCCCTCTGCTTTTGTGTTGTGCATTGTCTGCCCGTTCGCGGCTACACCGCTCACTCCTCACTTTTGTTGTTCCCTCTGAACAACATGACCTCGCGCCTCCGGCACTCGTCATGTCGCAACCCTGCCGGTGGCTTTCCGTAGTCATGAACCGGTCCTCCGGAGGTGATCATTCATGTTGGTAGCCTGGAAACAAAAGCCTACTGGCTGGTAAGGGATCAAGTACTACTGTGTTCTACGGGTGGTAACCAAGTTCCGTGTTGGAAGTCTACATGAAGCTATCACGATATCTACTTTGGGCAGCTTCGGCTGTAACGTGGCGGTGTATCCCCGTCGTGTCCTAGTGTCCCATCCAACTCCTTGATAGGGTCATACAACTCTCGCGCCTGCTCATCAACTGGCCATCTCTTTGGGTGGACCAAGTCCTTCACCATCTCACCGCGTTCATTTTCGATCCAAGCTCTGCGACACCTCAGGTTAGCATCATCGGTGCCCACGGCACAGGTCGTGCACTACTCCCCAGACTCACCGGTCAAGGTGGCGTTGCCTGCCGTCCAGCGGGGTGTCGAACCAGTGACGAAAGCAGTCATCATATGACGGGTGCTCAATCACCCACAGTCGAGTCCCTTTTCTCCAATACAACCGGCGCTCGTCCAAGCGGCGCGGGTAAGCAAAGTTCGCATGGAGACAAAAATGCATCGTTGCATCATCGTAGTGATCATCGTCTTCGTACCTCAGACGAGTCCGAAGAACAAGAAACCACATTTCGAGTTGTCCCTCTGATAATTGTCGCTTGACAAGAGTAAGAGCACACGCTGCACGCGCGCTTAGCAAAAGGATGTCACACAAAGACCGACTTCAGATCTCCAAGGTCGTGGTCATACCACCTGGAACACACCGTCCCAACTCTGGTCCCAACCAGTCTGCTCCCTTCTAGGTCGCGTGGGCTAACGAATGTCGATTGACTTACCGTCTCTATCCACGATAGAAGTGATCACCGCAAAGGGTGAAAGATTCAAGAATTGCTTCCCGCAACCGATTCACACCGAATCCAAATCGCACCAGGACACTCGTCCTTCCTGGATCCCCGTCGTGCCAGTTTCTGGCTCCTGCTGCTTGCCGGTATGGAAGAGGCAATGATTGCTCCCACTCGGTCGCACAGTAGGATATTCTGTAACCCTCTCTCTCGAGTTCACTGCCTTCAGTGAGGGATGGACCAACTGTGTGCTTCTCTCCACACAAGGAACAGCGTAAAAAGGAATTTTTACAAGTCTGAGTTTCTCCAACTCTCCAGAAATGCGAGTCCCCGTCCTCTTATACCCCTCGGGTTGTGTGGTGGCCTCGCCACCATGCAAGCAACAAGCTCGTGTGGGTCCCTGGTAGCTTACGCTTCCGTTCCCACAACACCCTCCTACGTCGCCCATGCGGGCTCCTACGGAGTTTATGACCCTGCACTCCGCCCTGCTCCGTTCCGGTAGGACCACTTCACGTGATGAATCACGTTCGTCTAGTGACGCTGCATACCGAACCGACTGGTGCCGGTTCCATGGTACGCCTCATAACCAAACATACAGACTCATCGGACCAGCGCCTCGCACTGGCCCTCTTCGAACAATAAGGCGTACGTCTCACCGTGCTAGTTCTCACTCCGTTCGAACCGCACTGTCTGATCACTCGCCCCAGCTCGTGATTGGTCACCATTTCACTTTCGTTCCATTCAGTTCACATCGTTCGTGCTTACGCGCTCACTTTGTTCAAAAGCCCTCGTCTTTTGACGACTCTATGTACTGTCCGTTCGCGCCTACGACGCTCACTCCTACGTTTTTTGTTCTTTCGAACAATTCAGCTTCGTGCCTTACGGCACTCACTGAATCGCAACCCTGCCGGTGGCTTTCCATAGTCATGATATTCCCTGCGGGGCTCACCCTCAATGCCGACTGCTTCAGTACAGGATCAAGTGCTGGGTACTACACCACCTCACCGTCTACGGTCCATCGGTAGCCAGGATACCTTTCACAGCTTAGTCACCTCACATTGCTCAGTGCATTCAATAAGCATCACATCTACGTGGATTACGCCTACAGCTCAAAGTCCTCCAGTCTTTCCAGTTTCAACGTGTCCCTACAGGGAGTCTTACACATAAAAGACTTTGCAACCAGCCGACGAGGCTCTCCACAGGGCAAGAGCAAAGCTTGTCTCGCAGCAAACCAGCGTGTCTTTGCCTCTACAGGCACCAGTTCGATGAAACCGCCTTTGGCATGACGCCAGCAACATGTCGTGTCGTCTTGTTTCTTGTGACACCATCCCAAGTAGTGTTGCACTGCTCGTAGCACCTCCAAGCGACTCATAGAGCCGTGTAAGGGTTCGAACGCATCGAAGAGGACAAGCGCGGCGCAGGAATCCCACTCGTCGTACTCGACAATAGGTCGGTTAATCCAGAGTTCCGCCGTCACCGGCACAGAAGCCTCCAGCTCTTTCAGGAAAGAATCCATTGCTCCCTCGGACTCAAAAAGGAAGTAAGCGGCCACAACGGCAGCTTGTCCCACACCGAGCCACATGTGCTCTGGAGACCAAAACCTGGGTCTATCCCTCAAAGGGAACACACGTGCATCACCAAGCTGGGCATTTATCCAGCCCAGTTTCTCAAAGAGAGATCCGGCTCCCGTTCTCAAGGGAACATGCTCCGTTCCCCACAGGAACTGTTTCGGGCGTCGGTTGTTTCTACTCGGCACCACCTCGCCTGTTGTTTCTTTCGTATGCGCCATGCTGACTGACTCAAGTTGAGTCAATGGTGTCACGCACTTCCGTCTCTCGAACGGGGATGACCAAGTCAAGCGTTCAACCTCTCGGGTTGAATGGAGTCGTGTGTCCCTCAAACTGAGGGAAGGATAAAAACAAGAGACCTTGTCCCATGTGCCCAGCACAGATGATGGTGTCGTGGTTACCCCCGTGGGGATGCACACAGCGGTGCTGTTTGTCTCTCGACCAAAATAAAAATATTTACAGGAAAGAGTTTCTCTAACTCTTGAAAAGTTCGAGCCTACTGCTCTTTATACCTCTCAGGTTGTGACTCTGTCACGTGTGACATGCATTGGTCCCACCCCTGCTTGTCAAGAAGACAATTGGTTGCATGCAAGATGCAAGCCACTCCCGATCATTTGTCCCAAATGATTCGTTCGCTGTCGCTCACTCCGCGTTTTACTAACCGTTTTTCCCGCCGCTTGCTCCCAAAACGTAAGACAGCATGCCTCCACTGACGTTCCGGCTGCCTACTGACGTCTCGTAGGGCCGCCCGACCTTCGGCACGTGCCTGGCCCCCATGGTACGTGGTTCCATGGTACGCCTTATAACCAAACATACGAACCACCTCCGCTCCCCCGTTCCGGTGTCGCTCTGGTGGCACAAGGGGAACGTCCATTGTCGTTTCGCGCCTGCCCGGCGCTTCACTCGTCACAGTCCGCTCCGCCTCCGACGTCGCTCTTCAGCGTGTAACATTTTCATGTTGTGTCCAGTCGGGTCTACGACCCTCCTTCTTGTTCTTCGTGACCCTTGAACAGTACAGCTTCGGGCCTTAACGGCCCTCACTGTACCGCAACCCTGCAGGTGGCTTTTCATAGTCATGATATGCCCTCCGGGGGTGATCATTTCATTGTCAATGCTTCCACGACAGCTTACGCACTTTGGGTGACCTTCACTTCACTGTTGTGATTATGATCTGTAGCCTAGGGCTTTGTCTCTACGCTCTCACTACGCCCTTTCTGTTCCCATATTACACTACGTTGCAGGCTAGAAGCCAGGATGGGATGAAGCCCACCAGGGTGCCTATCTAGGAAATCACGATGCGCCACACGATGGAGCAACTACTTCGCACACTCTATTCCTCTCTCAGGACGCTCTGCGCTCACATCTTCACGAAGTTCCTCTACAAGACTCTTGTCACCAAAGACAAATCTATCATCCGTCTCTCGGAAAGACCTCAGCCACAGGTCAGGATCACAACTCCAAGCGTTCCAACAACACTTCAAACGCCAGGCCCGGCAACCGTCGGCAACAAAACAATCGGAAGCCAACGGGGGTACGAATTCATCCAGGCTCAAGAACATATAGCTGGGCTCGAGTCTCAGCAAGATCTCGTAATCCCCTTTCGCCGTCAAAGCGGCACAGCTCCGGAACGGATACGTTCGAAGTTGCTCATGCAACTGATGAAGCATCTCGGAGGGCATGACACCTCTCGATGTCACCCACTGTAGGAAATGCCAGCGGCGGCACATGACGTGCTTCTTCAACGGAAGACACCGTGGGTGCATGCAACATGTTTGATCCTCCAAACAGCGGAGGCCGGTGAGAGGTCTGGCGTGTCCCGCGGACGACGATTGCTCCATGGCGCGGATAAGACAACACCACGTTGTCAGGACGTCTATAACAGAATTATTCTGTTGTCCAAACCCCGTTTGAGTCAGCCCAAGCTGGAAGAAAGCCCGCGGCAGGTCATCTCCGATGATGGAAAACGAGTGACCCAGGGAGTCACTGGCTCAAAGCAGGCACCCAAGTGCCAAAACCACGAGGCTCAACACGATGCCCACACCATCGTTCATGATATGTTCACAACCACCACTTCGTTCTCTCTTCGTTCGCACCAAAGGGAAAGGATCGTACTCACGCTCTGTTCGTAGTATAATGGCCGTCTGCGGTTCGTCTCCCGACCTGGCTGTTGTCGTGTGGGAGTCGCACTCCCAAAAGAGGCGTTCAAACAACCCAAAAGTTGTTCTCGTCTCTCGGCAAGGCAAAAAAGAAGTTTTTACAAAGGGAAGTTTGCTCTCAGCAAAAGAAAACCGAGCCAACAGCTCTTATGCACTCTGTTGCGTGACAACATCACGTGTATAGGCGCCCCGCACCTACTCGTGTTCACAACCCAATGTGGCTGCATGCATGATGCAGACCAAGCCTCTCTCATTTGCCCACAAATGATTCGCTCCCTACGGTCGCTCTCCGTTACGACGAACCGCTGCGTCGCTTACTCCGCGGTTTTATGACTCAGCCTCCGTTGCACTCTGGCTGTTACTGACGTTGGTCACCTGACCACGACCGGTGGTCCGTGGTACGATGGTTCCCCTTATAACCAAACATACAGGATCGGTCGCCCCGTGCCACACACGGTGCTCCCTCTCACAAGGCGTACGTGTATACCCAGTGCACACTCTCGTTCCACTCGAGTCGCACTGTCCAATGGACGGCACCACCGTCTCATTGGTTCATGTCATTCACTTTGTTCATTCCGTTCACATCGTTCGCTGTCGCTCACTTTGTTCAAGGCAATGACTATGGGCGCCGAACCACTTTGCTACGGACGCCGCGTTATTGGCGCCGTGTGGCTGAGTCGGCTCCTCAGCCACACTCCTCCCACGATGAACGTATCGTCCGCAAGTTGCATGCTGAGAGTAGTAGAATTGCCCCTTACACAAGCGAGAGTACTTGTTTCTTTGCGGTACAGGCTCTCGTCGGTAAATAGATTGACGGCCGAGGAATATATCGATCTCCAACCAATTATACAGTCCTGGCCCTGTCTACTGCTATGCTATTCTTGGCTTCGCGACTCCAATTATAGTTGCACATTGATACAGTCTTGACATTTATCCTTACTGGATGTTGACGCAGATGACTCTTTCGGGGTGGCGGGCCGCTTGGAAGCGCTACGACGTTGGCGCTTCCGTGGAGGCTCGGGCAACTCATCATCCGAGACGGTCTCCCATTCAGACCGCCGCCTCCGCAGGCTCGGCTGTCTCCTGCGTCCGGCTTGCCTCATCCCGGTCTGTTCCCCCGGCCCAAGTGCCTTGCACCTGGACTGTGTGTCGGTGCCGGCGCTGGCAGCCCGCGCCTTTCGATTGATAGCCATGTGCTCAGGCACCGGCTGTGTTGCATTCTTCGGACGCCCACGGAGACTCGTTGCAATTTTGGGGTCAAGTATGCGGCGATAAGGGTTGCGCGAACTTGGTTGCCTTAGGTGCCACCTTGGGTGGATGTCCTATTTCGTCAATGTCGCTCCTGTCTCCAGCTTTTTGAAGATTGTGTGGCGGCAAGGAATTCCCAGCTGCCAAGAGACAGTGCAGCTCTCTTGACAGTCTCCAATAGGCTCTGGCCAAGGACATGACTTGCTTGGTACCGACGTCAGTGCCCGGCGGTGTTCCTTTGCGATCAGGTCGAGCCCTGGCTGCGACACCACCATGCGGAGTTCTCCCAGGTACTCCGAACCGGGCCCAAAATAGGTTCGTGCCGTAAGGACTTCATCTTGAGAGCAGTTATCGGCGAAATCCTGCTCCTGATCTCTCAGCATGTCCTCAATTGCTTCAACAAGCCCGTACAAATGGCTCGTCCCGTTCAACAAGTAACTTTTGACGTTGTTGTTGCTGGCCTCGGTGCCAGAGGTCACGCGAACGCCGAAGTTGCGGTACTTTTTGATGTAGCAGTGAGCCCACTGGGCACTTATAGGCAAGTAGGTTTTGTAGAGATAGATAAGAATTGCCTGTTGGTCGTTGAATTCGTGGCATAGGCGAGACCACGCCTTCTCGTATTCCTCTTTGTTCTCCGCAAAGACTATAAGCTTCCATAGTTCAAGGACACCTTGGTAGCTGTGCGGCACGGCCACAGTACCGCAGCTTTGTAGAGGCGGGCCATGGACGGCTTCCACGTCCCTCGAACTCAGCGCTGCCCGGGACCGTCGATTGCTGTCGCTGTCGCTGTCGCTCTCATTGGCACCCTCTTCCTTTGCGTCTTTCCACTTTCGCTTGGCGTTGAGAAGTACGTTTGCATTGATGTGGTGGATGCAGAGTTGCTGCTGGCTATCGGGAAATTGATGGCCCAATGCTGCCTTCATTTGCTCGTCGTAGTCGGTGATCACGACGTCAGGTAGCTGGATCGCATGCCTCTCATTTAAGAGTCGGACTCCCTCAGCGAGGAACTGAAAGCCTTCACGTCTCTCGTTATCGATCAAACCGAATGCGGCGTTGTAGACTGACTTCAAACATGTCTGCCCTGTAACCTGAAAGAGCGGTAGCTTGAAACGATTTGTATTGTACGTGTTGTCGAAGCTCATTATTTCGGGAAAGCGCTTCCACATCTGGACGCAGTACGGGAAGGTCCAAATTAAGCCAACGAGGCGATCCGGCTCAGTCGTGGACCACTTAACGACATACGGGATGCTTCGCTCGTCGAGGAGTTTGATCAAAGCGGCTGTGGGGCTTAAGCCGCCTAACTTCTTTCGACGCAGGCGGGCTCTCGCATTGTATATGTCCTTCCTAGTGCAGAGCGTGTCGGGGTGCTTTTCTTTCACGATGCCACGTACATCGCGAGCCCTAATGCCGACGCGCCGGCTTGTCGCCTCAATGGTTGTCATGACGGCCTCATCTAGTCTCCGATGTATGGGGTGGGCGGCGAGACTTATGCTGCGGTTGTGGTTGTGTTGGCTGTGCTGCGGATTGGCGAAGTTTCGCAGCGTCCACATGTATTCGTTTTGTTCCAGTGCTTCTGCGATAACCTTCCATTTGCAGCCGCACTTCCGCGATCTTTTTTGACGGAGTCCCGTGCCCTTGGACGGGCGGGGCATGCCGTATCGATCACACTGAAACACGTATCGTGTCTTCCGCTTGCGACTGCCTGATCCATTGTGCCTGACGACGCCGAATCCGTGTTCCTTTGCGAACTTATTAACGTGGGACTGTAGGTCGTCGATCGAAAAGGCCGCGTGACCCGGGATCGAAGGGTTCGGTATGGGTGTTGATGCGTCGTGGCTGCTGGACTCGGTGTCGGAGAAGCCATTCCACTCGTCGTCCTCCTGGTGTTGGCAATCAGACGAAGAAGATAGGGGTACCGTTGGCGCGCCTAGTATTTCTGTAACGACTTGCGGAGAATCTAGCCTTGAACAATGCTTAGCCAACTCGAGAGCCAGCATGGAGTCAACCTTAGTTTGGTCAAGGGCGAATTCCAAGGCAGACTGAAAGCACGCCTTTCTTCCAGTGCCATCTTCGGAATCGCGATGTTCGGCTTTTTCGCGCATTCGCTGTCTCTCAAGTTTGTCGGGACCTGGAATTACAGATTTGAACAACCGCTGGACACCACGGCCGCGGAAATTGTCGTCCAAAAAGATTTGCGATTGCCGCGGCTCCCAGTATGGTTCATCGATTCCCCAATTGCCTTGCGGTTTCGGAAGACTCGTGAAGTAGGCCTCTGGCCAGGTTGCAAATAGGTTGTACAAGGCGTTGTCATCGCCATCGCCGTAGTGAGGCTCTGGATCGAAGGCGGCATGATATCCTCCAGCACGTTGTTCGCCGCCATGGCGCAAACCGACTGTGGCCATGCCGCTGCTGCTGTTACTTTGAACGCAATTGGGCTGAATTGAGAGCGCAAACTATGCTTCGGCTTCTCAGCGAGAAGCATCCTACTGATGGCGACAGAGAAGTTGACGATTCATTTTACTCCTACAAGATCAAAATGGCTGGGAGAGAGGAATGAGCAGCCCATCAATTGGAAGGCTAGTGGGGCCGAATTGCCTGTTTGGGAGCACCAGCCACACGGCGCCAATAACGCGGCGTCTGTAGCAAAGTGGTTCGGCGCCCATAGTCATTGCCTTGTTCAAAAGCCCTCGTCTTTTGACGACTCTATTGTTTGTCCGGTCGCAGCTACACTGCTCCCTCCTACTTTTGTTGTTCTCTTGAACAACACACCATCGCGCCCTTACGGGCACTCTGTGTGTCGCAACCCTGCCGGTGGCTTTCCATAGTCATGAGCCGGGCCTCCGGCGGTGATCATTACTATCGGTATTGCTTGAATAAAAGCCTACTCACTGGGTGCAAGTACAATCACTCTCAGAACTCAACCTGGTGTTAACACGTTTCATATTATCAATGTTACGGGTAGTCTGTCTGCCTGTCTCCCCGGGGAGAGGTATGAAGCCATCGTCAATGCCCAAAAGGGTAAGGGAAGCGTTCCCCACTCAGATCAACCACACCGTCCACACTGTGGGGTAAATGCCAAGGGCAGTTCCTTCCTCCAGGCAGCTCGGCGTCGAGCTCTTCCGTCAACTCTATGTTTCCGAGGACCGTTCTGAGCTGCGAACCCCGCAACCTCGCCACCCAATCTCTCGCGTCCCACTTCAATGCATCCCAACAACAACTCAAGTGCCACACCTTGCTATCATCCTTGCGAAAGCGCGTTTCGGGATGGTCAGAGTCGAGAGGCAAGATCTCCCTTGCCACGACGAGCGGATCATCGGGACTGACCCTCAGCAGGATCTCGTAGACACACACGTCTTTTCGGACGCCACAAAGGCTGAACTTGCGGCCGTTCAAGCTACTTCGCAACTCTCGTAGCACCTCGGAGGGCATCAAGGGCTCCGATGACACCCATCGGACGAAGAACCATTCGCGGCAGAAACCGCGTTCTTTCAAGTGATCACAAGATCCGTGACTGCAACACGACAAGCGCAAACACGCTCGAGCCTCCTCGGGCTCCGGTGTGAGGTAAGTGGCCGGCCGCGCGGCAGCAAGCTTCTTCTTCTTTCCCATGGTCCACTCTGTTCCGACTCCGCCTGAGTCTGTGTCACGGTTAGCGCCAAGCTTCCCATCTTCTGAGATGAGGTGCGCCAGGTGAGTGGGGTCACCACCCACCTGTCTCTTATACACATCTAGATGTGTATAAGAGACAGGGTCCACTCTGTTCCGACTCCGCCTGAGTCTGTGTCACGGTTAGCGCCAAGCTTCCCATCTTCTGAGATGAGGTGCGCCAGGTGAGTGGGGTCACCACCCACTGATGAATGCACGATAGCATCCCATCGCCCCCGGGGCTCAAGCGACAGATCTCGCGGGGTTCTCAAACCAGTCGTCCCACTCCGCAATCACAAAGTGAATAACACACTTACTCGCTTTTGCTCGTCTCCAAAAGTGTCCGTCAAAGACCGCTGTGTCTCTCCCAACAGCCAGAGGCTGGATGTGGTACCAACCGCCCGGTTGAATGCGTGGTGATGGACCCAAGTCCGTCCAGTATCTCTGGAAGGGTAAAAAGAATGTTTACAGGAAAGAGTTTGCTCACGGCAAAAGAATTCCGAGTCCAAGCCTCTTCATGAATCTCATTCCAGTGATTCCCAATCACGTGTGAGTGCTCCCGCACCCGACAAGCACGGGCGGGTCCCTTGCGTCAGCATCCCGCGACCACCATTCGACGCCTCGTCTCACTGGTGTTATGACCAATTACTCCGGTCTCCTCCGTCAATTGTAGAACAGCTTTCCTCCGATTCTCTCCGGAAGCCTAGTGACCGACCTACCGGCCCCACACTGGTGCGTGGTTCCATGGTACGCCTTATAACCAAACATACGGACTCACTCACACCGCGCCACGCACGGTGCTCGTTCAAACAATAAGGGGAACGGTCACAGTGCCAATCTCGTTGCACTCGATTCGCACAGTCGGCACCACTCACAACGTTCGTGGTTTGTGCACAGTGTGTCTCTTTTGGAGACGCAATGATTGATTGTCCGGGCCGGGCTACACCCGTCCCTCCTACTCTCCGTAGCCTTTGAACAGTCTATCCTCGTGCCTCACGGCACTCGATAGACCGCAACCCTGCAGGTGGCTTTTCGTAGTCATGAACATCCCTCCGGGGGTTATCTTCGAGTCGGTCTCCGTTGAACGACAGCTTACGCACTACGTGGGCTCAGTCGGTAGCCAGGCACTTTGTCATGTCACGCATCTTGAAGGTATCACCAACCCCTAAAAGGGTTAAGCGGGCACTGTCACTCTCGTTTCATTTTCTCCGTTCTCACTTTCTACCACATTGGCAAGTGGAATCCACACTACGCTAGAACGTGTATCCATCATCATCTACGAACATGTCACTGTCGACATCATCAAATTCCTCCGTCTTCGGCACAAGTCGCACCGGACCGCCTACCTTGGCGCCATTTCCACTTTTCCGTGGCTCAAACGACAACACTTGCTGGCTACTGCAGGTTGGAGTGAGCGTGGCATGCTTACGCAGAAGACTCTCGGGCACAAAATGCTTCGATGGATCATGCTTCCCTTCCCGGGAACGCTGCTTCTCGATCCAGGCAAGGTAGACCTTGTCATAGAAACAATTGCCCAGGGCCTCGCCAAACATTCGCAAGGCTCGCTTGAAAGCATCCGTCTTCGCCTCCTTGATGGCCATCTCCAAGGCATCACCCGGTGTCTTCGCACCTTTACTTCCACCGCCATAACCGGTGCCTTCATGGAAGGTCGACTGACCCGTCGAAGGCCAATTCACCGTCACACGGACTCTGCACTTTGCATTGACAGCCCACTTCTCACCTTCGCGGTGCGGCACATCTTCTTCCTGACGGAGGACCTCTGAACTCCAGTGGTCATTGCCAAACACCAAGTTGGCAACATAGATCGCATCCGAACTGCTCAAATACGATAGCATCATGCCAGGACCTTTCCTGCGCTGAACAAACTCCGGCCCCAAAGGCCTATTCACCAAATCCAAGGGCGTTTCAACCCCGGTTGAATCCGTGTCGGGTGGAGACTGCAGTCGCGTCTTCACGTAGGGGGGAGGTGCCGCCACCTCCTCACAATCGTCGGCCTTTCGGCCTCGTTTCCCTGAGAAAGACATTCCGTCTAGGTGTTTGTTTCCCCAAAACAATGTTGTCAATCAAGAAAAGACTTTACCGTCTCCCCGTAGCGTGCTGTTCTCCCGGAAGCAGCAGTGGACTGTTTGTCGGGTTCGTGTGTAGCACGAATGGTTTTGTGTGTTGTGCCTCCACGCGGTGATTACCCAGGGTACTGTTGCGATGAAATGAAAGGAAAGTTCTCTCGAACATGAAAAGTGCGGACTCACGGTCCTTTATACTCTCCTAGAGTCGGGGTGGCAACACCACCCTGCGCTTACGCACCAGACAAGCTTGGGCGGGTCCCTCACGACATGTCCCGCCAACCACAACTCGTCTGCTAGACTCGTTTGTGTTATGACCACTCTTTCCGCCTCTCGCTCGCAGAGTGTAGTACCGCATGCCTCCGTTGACACTGCGGCTGCCTAGTGACGTAGGGAATGACCACCCTCGACCCAAGGGCCGGCGTGGTTCCATGGTTCCATGGTTCCCCTTATAACCAAACATACGAACCACCTGCGCACCTCGCCACGCTCGGCGCTACGGTGGAAGGGGAACCGTCTCAACGCTTCGTGCCCTGTCGGGCCCTCGCTGTGTAGTGTCCGCTCCGCCTCCGACGTCGCTCTTCAGCGTGTAACATTTTCATGTTGTGTCCAGTCGGGTCTACGACCCTCCTTCTTGTTCTTCGTGACCCTTGAACAATACTGCTTCGTGCCTTACGGCACTCACAGTATCGCAACCCTGCCGGTGGCTTTTCGTAGTTCTGACACTCCCTGCCGGGGGCATAATTCTAGTCTGTAGCCTGGGGATAAAAGCCTACTCACTTTGTATCTACACCACTTCACTCTCGTGATGACTATTGGTAGCCAAGCTAGTACATTACCCATTCCCAGTTGAGGGTATCACCAGCTCCATTTTAGGAAAGTGGGCTGCACCCCTGTCGGTTGAGTGTGGGGTTGTTCTCGACCACCTCTGTCACGACTCTCGGTCTTTTATGGAGCAACGCACCATCGCTTCTACGGATTCAACATTCACGCATCATGTCAACAACGTGACGCAACAACAGTCGAGGTTTGCTACGCTAGCAACACGATATACTTCGTAACAAAGCACGTATACCATACCCATGTCCATGAACATCGCCCCCCACCGGGCTGCACTATCCATCACAAAGCAGGCACTACCCGCGAAGACTCCTCTGACGACGACGACGCCGCGCATCGCGAACACGCATCCTCTCAAGGTGACGGTACTCTTCCAACCCAAGGAAGAGGGCACGGGGGGATCCTGCCGTATGAACACAGCGGTTCACGTTCATCGTTCGCGCCCGGCGCCGAACAAAACCATCGGGACACTCGTCATGACGACACTGCTCGGAGTCGCCCACCAATCCTCTCGCACGCTTGCGCTTCCAAAGATCTGGGTCACGAATTCCCTTCTTACCCACTCGGCTCTTTGTGACAAAGAGCATGTCGACGACGCGGACACCCGACTGCACGTGTTCCACCGCGTAGAAACCCAGCATCATAGGCAAGACATCTCTTGCCAGTTCCACCACACGCCGAAAAGGTTCTTCGGGCGCGGGCTGATAACGCAGCCAGGAGACTTGACTCTTGTCCAAAGCCACCATGTTGGACCGCACCACGGCTCAAAGTAATCGAGTGATCGTCTCTCGACTCCACAAAAGAATCGTGTTGGAAACACGAAATGTACACAAGCTCGCAGACACCGTCCGCAAGGGGGTAATGAACCGGGGTGTTCACCCGGAGTGGCCAAGCCAATGTTCACTCGAACAAGAAAGGGAGTAACGAGGCTGTTTGGCACCAAACAGGTATGGTTAGGGGTTGTGTTGGCCCGGGGCCAGCAAATGCCACGCTGTGTGACGAAACAGTTTCGACGTAAAGGCACATTCACCGGATGAATGTATGTGTCCACAAAAAGTAAACACTTCTCGAGTGTTGCAAGGTGGGAGCAGCGCTCCCTTATATAACCGCTGCGCGGTGCACGTCCAACGGCGGGTCCACGACCTCGTGATGCATCTCTGCATGCATGGCAGCCAATTAGCTGCATGAAGTCCGCATCGTCGCTCTGCTCCTCACCGCTCACTTTCATTCGCTCTTGCGTTATGACTAATCCTCCCAGCTCTGCTTCCCGGATTATAGTGACTCCGTTCCTTCGTTTGCACTCCGGACGGTTAGTGACGACGGTCACATGACCGACACCGTGGTGCCGGTTCCATGACCGACACCGTGGTGCCGGTTCCATGGTTCCCCTTATAACCAAACATACAGAACCTCACCCGCACCTCGCCACGCTCGGCACGGTTTCGGAAGGGGAACTGGTCACTGCGCTTCGTGCCCTACTCGGGCCCTCGCTGTCCTGTGTCCGTTCGGCCCTCACGGTCCTCACTCCTGGGCTTTTACAAAATACAATTTTGGTATCATTCACACTGTTCATGTTCTCTTCCACCACTCCGTTACCGTCGTGGTGTCAGCTGTCTCGCAGCTGTGTGACGGTCGCTTACGCGCCCTACGCAATGAACATCTCACTTCCGCGCTTCCGCGCTCCAGTTCGACGCAACCCTGCAGGTGGCTTTTCGTAGTTCAGATATTCCCTCCGGGGGTGATCATTCTATTGTCAATGCTTCAATGGAAGCCTACTGTCTGGGGTGGCCTTCACTTCACTGTTGAGTATCTACCGGTAGCCGAGGTCTTGGTCACTGGTGACTCAGCACTCAAGGTCGAGGTCATCACCAACTCCAGTTTAGGCAAGTGGGGGCACTCCCCCCCGGGTTACTTCACAACTGCTCACTCCACTGTGTCCAGCGCGTCCTCGGCTTCATCCACATCCTCATCTAACTCGTACGACAAATCCCACTCGCCGAACATAGAGGTACCCTTTCGAACTCTCAAGACGTCACCCCATTCCTCACGGTCCAACTTCAGCGCATCCCCGCAGCACTTCAACTGCCGAACCTGGCACTTGCTGGGTTCAAAGCCATTGCCCGGCTTCCGGAGCACATCGCAAAGCTCATTCGAGGGTTCGTCCCACTCCAGTCTCAGCAAGACCCAAAATATGGTCCTGGCCTTTGTCCTTCCGACAACGGTTCGCGTCCCGTAGAAGCGAAACTTGCATTTGTCCTGCAACATGCGTTGTAACTCCTCAGTCAACTCCGTCGACAACATGTCACGCGATGCCTCCCATCGGAGAAGGATCCAGTGGCAACACCACAAACCCTCCTTGAGGGTAGAGCACTTCGCATGATCACAGCAGTGAGAACGGGGCTGCCCTGCACCTGTACCACGGGCAAAGTCAACAACGTGATCCATGATCCCGACCAAGGCCGTTCCACAACGGCAACTCGCACCCTGCTAACAGATTAGCAATCCGACTTGCAGCACCCAGTTCGCAAAATGAAAACTCCCATGTGTCGATACAATCGACTAACACCTTCAGGTAGCACTCACGTGCACTAGGAGAAGATGGTCTTGCCCTCGGCAAAACAATAACCAGGTAAACCGGCCCCAGGGAACTGTGGCGCAATGCTCTGGCTCTGGCTCCCGCTCTGTGTAGCGTTCTTTTCCTCCAAAAGAAGGAAATGGTGTCTACTCACACTCTGTTCGTACCGTTGTGGGTGGTGGGTTGTCACTCCCTTCGTCGTGATCAAGTCGACCCTGTCTGCTGCGTGGGGTGCTCGTTTCCACGAAACCCGGTTTGCTCCTCGTAAAAAGAATTTTTACAAGTCTAAGTTCGTCCAAACTTACAAGAAGTTCAAGCCAACAGCTCTCACACACTGTGTTGCGTGACAGCGTCACGTGCAGATGGGCCCCGCCCAAGCTTGTTGTCACAACCCAAAAGGGTCGCATGCATGATGCGAACCAAGCCTCCATCATTCTTCTCGAATGATTCGCTCCTTTGCAGTCGCTCTTCGTTATGACTAATGTGTTCGGCTCTACCTCCCACATTTTAGTGACCGCTTCACGTGCCAAGTCACGTTCGCCTATGACGTAGCTCACCAAACCGAACCTGGGTCCGGTTCCATGGTTCCCCTTATAACCAAACATACTACTCACTCGTCCCGCGCTCTCGCACGGTCCTCGCTCAGACAATAAGGCGCACGTTGTACCGTGCCAATCTCGCTCTGCTCGATTCGCACTGTCGGAACCCCATACACTTTGTATGGGATCAACACAGTGTTCACCCTCCGTTCACCTCAGTTCACAACGCTCGCTGATGCTCGCTCTGTTCAAAAGCCCATGTCTTTTGTATTGTTCTATCTGTAGCCCTCATCTCTTTCGTGGCCCTTGAACAGTCCACCATCGTGCCTTACGGCACTCCGTGGACAGCAACCCTGCCGGTGGCTTTCCATAGTCATGATCCGGTCCTCCGGAGGTGATCATTCGGAGTGGTAGCCGGTTAGTAGCAGCCTACTCACTGGGGTACGGTACAATCACTTTAGCCATTACAGTCTGTAGCCACGTGGGCTTTACAAGGGGAAGGGAGGTGAAGTCATCACGACTTCCGTTTAGGGTAAGTGGGGTATGCCCCGCGATGGAGCCACGGAGGACTCCAAGTTCAATTTCATTTTCCTTCATATTTCACCCTGTTCCAATTCGCCCTCGCCAGCAGCCTCTCTCACGCTACGTTCAAGCTCCGAACAAAGTCTCCCATCACCAAGTAACAGTCCCGACATGGACTCAATCCAGACTATCGCGTCCCACTTCAAAGAATACCAGCAACAGAGCAAAGGCCACACCTGGCTGCGTTCACCAACGACAGAGCCTGGGGGAGAGGCAAGCAGTGCACGGACGGGGCCAAACCCCTCGTCTGAATCCACCTTTACGAGGATCTCAAAGACGGTTGATCTCTCGATCACAGTACGTATCGCACAAAAGCGAAACTTGGCACCGGCCAATTTTGATCGCAACTCCTCAAGCATTGTTGAGGGCATGACGACCCAGTCTGTTTCCCAGCGGAGAAAGAACCAGTGGCGACACCACTGTCGCTGTTTGAGTGCAGCGCAGGCTGCATGATGACAACACTCGCAGTACGCGGACTCGGACACTCTCAGTGTCGAGGAAGAATAAGAGCGGTCCCTCAGCCGCTTCATGGTACCCAGACACAAGTACCAAGACCCTCTCGGGTTCTGATGATCGTCATCAATCCAGTCTTTTCTCCAAAACCTCTCCGGTTTCCGCCCTGCTCCCAACTGTGTCAGCGCACCCCACGTCTACGACGAGGATTCACTCCAACTTCTCCCAGAAGAATGCACCCGGTGCAAAAAAACGGTTCCACCAGCCAGCTCACGCAATAAAACAAAAAGCACATTCCCTGTGCCCAAGCAACAAGAAACACTTACTTCCCCGTTCGTGCGTGTTGTGTCCGTTCGGTTCTTTCCTCACAATTAATGATCTTGTCCCAATTGACAAGTCGTCCCGAGTGCACTCTCGTGCATGGTGGTTTTGGGTTCGCAGCGCTGCTGTCTGACGACAGTCCTTTGAAAAGTAAGAAAACAAGTTTAAGTTGGACTCTGTCCAGAAAAGAATCCTCGAATCTCTTTTCCACTCTCTGGGAAGTGACACCGTCACGTGTCTCTCCTCCCTCCCTGGTCGTCGAGCTGCAACTGACAAGCAGCTGTGGATCACCCTTAGGTAATCTCACATTCCGCCACGCTCCCCCTGTCGCGTCTGGCGTTAGGACCATTTTCCTCCGTCTCCGCCTCCGGAAAATCTATGACCCCTTCCTCCGCTACGCTCCGTCGGTTTAGTGCGTTACGCAGACCAAGCCGACCCGAGGGCCGGCGTGGTTCCATGGTTCCATGGTGCGCCTTATAACCAAACATACAGAGCAACCGCCCCAGATGCCTCGCACTGGGACAGTTGCCTAAGGGGAACATAGTGTCACACCGTGCGTAACCTCACTTCGTTCGGCCCACACTGTTCATTGGGTCGTCCCACTCCCTCATTGGCTATCATTCACTTTTGCTCATGATGTTGTTGTGTCCGGTCGGGTCCTACGAACCCTCCCTCTTGTTCTTCGTAGCCCTTGAACAGTCCACCTTCGTGCTTCCGCACTCAGTGGACCGCAACCCTGCAGGTGGCTTTCCGTAGTCATGATATGCCCTCCGGGGGTGATCATTCATGTTGGAATCATTGAAGCGTATGAGCAGTCACTGGGTACTACAACAATCACTGTGTTGAACATGGTCTGTAGCCAAGCACTTTATGAATTCTACGAATGAAGCCATCACGACATCTCGATTAGGCAAGTCAAGGAGTTTCTACAAGGTCGATCTACTCCGGCAAAGACGCCGCACCTTCCGGCGTAACTCATCGGTGGGATATTTATCCGCGTTCCCAAGCTCGCACACCAAGTCCATGCACAATGTGGGACAACTCTCCTCAAGTTCAGACTCTGCCACGTCAACCCATGACGTCAAACACTTCACAGCGCCTACCACGCAGCAGGGTAAAGGTCTTACAAAAAAGCACGGGTCACACCCCTCAAGGGAAAGGAGCCATACAGTCTCCCCGCTCCCGTCAAGGAAAGCGCACTCCAGCTGTTGCATCTCGTCTTCACTCAAAGGAGCAACGCCAGGCTTCAAACGAAGCAGGATGCGATACTCAGTTTCGCCCCTCACTTTGTCTTCGACAAAGGTGTAATCGTAGTCTGATCTCTCGCGACCAAGATGGTCGTTCAACTTGTCATCACACTCCAAGTGACTCATCGAGTAACCCGGCTGTTCATGTAGCTCATACACTCGGGCACACCAGTTGCTCCTCCGCAACGGGGCACAAGAATCGTGACTACAACAGTCACACGTCCTGCCACCCACAGTGCCATGTTTCTCATCACCAACCCGTGATGTATTGTTGTTCTCCACCATCACAAAGCCTTCTCGTTCGAGATTGTCGGTCTCCTCCAGCTCACAAAGTGTTACCGAGTCATCACTTGACTCCACGGAAGCGCCGCGGGGCGTATAAAACTGGGCGAGTGTCTCACTCGACACCGACGACAGCGACTCCGTATCTGAGTCTCCAGATAGGGAAACAAGTCTGCCGTGTTGATCTGTCCAGCACATCGCCATGCTCCGTGTCCCGATGGGATATCGCACTCCTCCCGTCGTGTTCAATGGAAAGGAACTCTCCAAAAGGAGAGAATCACACCCGGTGATGATGTCAATGACGTGTGCAATGCCACTTGCCGCTTGCGTGTTATTGTTGTACTCCAACAGTATCTTGTGTTCTCACAACAAGAAGATCACTCTCTATTGAAACGTTGTCCATCAACCTTCTCTGGTTGAATAGATGAAGAAAAGAAAGAAAAGTTCCCAGAACATTTTGAGAAGTGGGCGAAGCCTGCTTCTTATATGTCTCCCAGACGGAGGGTGCCCCACCCTGGCTTGTGTCAAGCATGAATGGTCGCATGCAAGATGCGGACCAACCACAGCTCGTCTGCTAGACTCGCTTGTGTTATGACCGATCCCTTCCACCCTGTTCTCGGATCGAATTACTCATCCCTCCGTTAAAACTCCGGGTGATACTGACGCGGTCACATCCCGGACCCCTGCTGGGTCCTGGTACGATGGTTCCCCTTATAACCAAACATACGGACCAGCGGCGCACCTCGCCACGCTCGATGCTTGCTGGAAGGGGAACCCTTCTGCGACTGTACGTCTTCACAACTTACCAGGGGTAGGTTCTGGCTCCTGGAGACAAGAAGCGTTGTGCTCCAGGGTGCCAGGGGTAAAGATTAGCGCTCCCAGCTTGCAGGATGTGTGGTGTGAAGTTCGCAGGATTAGTGGTGTGAAGCATGTAGGCTTGCAGGACGAGTGGTGTGAAACAAAATCTGCTCGCAGGACGCGTGGTGTGAAGCATGCAGGCTCGCAGGACGTGTGGTGTGAAGCCGAACCGGCTCGCAGGATGTGTGGTGTGAAGCACGGGACGCGAATGGGGGCAGAGGAATGCGGGAGTAGGCAAAGAAGGATTGCAGCCGCTTCTGGATCGCCGCAACGGTGACTTGTCGCACATTACCCAGGACAAGGGGTAAGACCAGGGTAGTACAGGGGTGCCGACAAGGGTCTATGTCCCCTGTCATTCAGCTCACCACCAGCTTCTTTGCTTCACACCCATCAGCCTTCACCCCGCGGTTCTCCACACCATCGCACTGGACATCCATGTTGACGCTTGCCTGCAACGCTGACAACCTCGTCTGAGCGCCGACAATGGCTCTTCTGAGTCGGCGGGAGTCAATCCGCAACCTGGCCGTCTACAGTACAGTACTCTTCCATCGTAGAAGCCCGCAGCAGTGTGTCGAGGAGCCGAAACTTGCGTCACATGAGAATGCAGTAGAAACGGCGGCGGAAGGGTCTAGGAACGACACCCCGAAACCTCTGTGTCCAGTCTGTTCTCTCATCTTCTCCCGTCGCGCACCTGCACTGTACTTCGCTCTCAG